GACTCTCTTTCCTCCTCACACTGTTCTCCTGCTCCAGTGCAAGGTCCCTCCCACAGGCTGAAGTCCTTCAAGATAAACCTGCTCCTGCACGGGTCTTTCCCAAAAGCTGTACTCCTTCACTAACTGCTCCAGCATGAGCTCTCTCCACAGGCATAGTTCCTTCAGCAGATATCTACACCAGAGTAAAAAAGGGCATACAGCTTAGCTAATAAATTTCATATGTATTCTGTTGAGCTCGTTTTACAACTAACATTCAGATTTTGATTACACTGTATGTCACAGTTCATAGCTTGGCAGCTGCTTTGAGTTCTGTTTTCAACATTCAGAGATCAAATCTTAAAATGGGCACAAGGAAAATGACACATCTGCGTATACTCAACAGACAAAACACACTACTAGTGAAGCATCTTCCTTTCTGTTTTGAGTAATTAGGAAGCTTACCAAGGCTGACCTCCAATACTTAAAAATCTGTTTTTGTCCATATTCTGCAATTCCTTCGTTAGCTTGCTGCCTGGTGCTGCAAGAACACATGCCTGATTTCTAGCTTGGACTCTCATACATTAGTCCCTATTGTGCTTTTTCACAATATAACTTCACAAGGAGAAAATACCAATGGTTTTGATATGTCTACACTATAGTTTATAATATTTTTAATAAGCAGAAGAGAGCAAGCATTAAGTCTCTCACTGGAAAGCATTCTGTCTCACTCACTCTTACTTTAAAACAAATGCATTTTACTATTCTAGGATTAGGCTCTGCAAGTAGCTCTAAACACTTTCTTCCTGGTATTTGCAGAATTTTTGTAATAAATACATTGCCATATTCTTCTGTAACCTAATGACAGAAAATTGAGTGAAGCGTTCAAAACTATGATAATATTAGGTAAGCACATAGCATTTCAAAGAGAAATACAATAAGCTTATAATGTCTAACTTACACCAGTAGCAAAAGAGAAAAGACCAATTATGAAATAGCACTGACTTGAATGCTGATTATATTCATATTGCTTTACTTTTGTTCCACTTCCACTATATTTACCATCTCGAAAATTAATTGAAAAAGTACACCCACTCCTTGAATATTTAGTGCACCAGAACCTTCTCAGATCACAGCCTGATTTATCAAATTTACATCCTTATTCTCTCTTGCTACAAGACACACAGCACTTGAAATACCTTAAGCCTTAAAACTCACATTATCGGCCTTTGAAACAAGTGCATACTGATAGACATGAGTATTTTTAGCATCTGACAGAAAAGCAAAACTACAAAAAATAACTACAAAGCCTCTGAAGTTAACACAGAAAAGTATCAAAGGCATACCTCCACTCCACATCCAGGTCTTCACCCACACTAGAGTCATCCTCAAGGTTGTTATTTCCATCCAACAGGAAGAATCCAGGATGCGTGAAATCACTAACTGGATCATTTTCCTCATCACTGCTACTTTCTACTTCTTCCCGGTACTGTAACCAAGGAACCTCTCCTTCCTCCAATAATGCCTGTTCCCTTCAAATAAATGAAAAGCTAGGAGAATTTACAAACACATACAAGCAACAAAAGCTACACATATCACAAGGGCTAAAGATGCCTGTTTCCCAGGCTGCAGAGAGCCAGATTAGGAATTCAGCATTTGCTGTAAAAACCAAGAAACTCCCAGTGGTATCAGCTCCAGACTCAGAATCTAGGAACACCCATGTTTCTATGACAAAATTATTTGTGTAATGTTCAAGGCCAGCAGTACAGAGAGTAGCTTGCTTTGCGTTTTCCCTAGTACGGGCAGCATCCCTGCTAGGAATAGTAAATTTGCCACTGAAGATTTTCTTATTTATCTACAAGTTCCTAAAGCCCCTAAAAAGAAAGGCTCTCTTGACACCCTGGAACAGCCGTCATGGGGAAGCTTGGCCTGAATGCAAACAGATACTCTTTACAAGATAAGCTATTTGCATAAGGAGAAAGGCTCCTCTCATTCCTGGATATTCTAGAGGAGCACAAGTCACATGGATGTTTAGAGCCACAAAGCCTCAAGTCCCACTTTCCTTATCAAAGGGAAAATAAACAGAAATCATGTTAGAAATGAGTACATTTGGAGGCTTTTCATATAAAAGAAAGCTAAAGGGTACACAGCTCCATTGGTTTTGTTCTCAAACAGGTAAGTTTTTATAAAGCCACACTAATTCTCCAAACCTCAACAGACAGTAATACTAAAAAAGCAGTAACAGCAATTTGGACTGCTAGGTAATAAGTACTGTCTACCTAAGAATGGAAGAAGCTGAAAGAACACTTAGGCATGGCTTGTTGCTTCACAAAGACATAAACCAAGGCTATATGGTCAATATTAGATGCTTAGGAAAAACCAAAACTTTACTTGGCTATTTATAGCTACAATTTTGCCTTGCAACATGTAATTTTTTCCCTCATTTGAAATACACAAAACTACTCAGATTATTTTGATGTAGGCAAATGATTATTGCTAGTATAGCAACTAGTTTAAGAACTGATGTTATTCCATGTAGTGTCATGTAGAAGATGATGATGTCAGAGCTTATAGGAAGTTATCTAAAAAAATAAAATCATACCCTCCTTGGAAACAGAAGTGTGTGTTCTCCCCTTCTACACCACTGCAGCTGCTCTGCACTTCAGTCTCACATTCCTCCCTGCCTGGGACAGTTTTCCAGCTTTCATCACTTGAGGACTGGTCTACTTCTGTAGCAGTAGAACACGTAAACACAGCTGCACACCATTCTCCATCACTGTATTCTGAGCTGTAATTTAAACAAGGTAAGAGGGTGTGAAGAGCAGTAAAACACTGCTTTAGAGGAAAGAAAACAAATCACAATCACATTCTGGGATTTCCTACTTTTCTATGAACATTGCTCTCAACATAGACAATTTTTTCTAGAATAACCTAGTTTTGTACTATCTATAGATGTATTACAAGGCAAATATACATGAAGACCTGGTTAAAAAAACAGTTTCTAAGAAAGAATTCTGCCTATCTCACTTGGCAAAAATATTTTGTTCTTCCCCCTCCACATTTGCAGAATACATGAAACAAGTCAGGAATATAAACCCAGACCCACTACACACATCTTTCTCCAAGCACACAAAGAGAAAATGGCAGCAGTGACACTGAGAACACCAATGCTTTCTTAGCAAACAATAAGCAATGTCAGCCTTACCTCTCAGCCAAACAAAACTTAAAGTAAAAGCTCTCATAACCTCTAAGGAATATACAGCAGTCCTTTTTTTAAATCATACAGAGATATAACGGATGACTTACTGTAAATTATATAACTCACTAGCTCAAACAGATGAATGGCAGGGAGTTTTTCAAAGATAATTTGCTCAGTCACCACATAGAAAAGGGTAGCAAATAACGAGTTGTGGGCAGCTTAAACAAAATAGTGATGCTAGCAGTTATCTCAAGAAGGATGAAGTTATCTACTGCTCCCTTTAGTAATGCCACTTAGAAGGTTCACTCAATACTACCAGTGACAATTGACACCTACCAAAATTCAAAGTATAATCAACTAGCTAAGTAATTTCAAAAAGTTATAGTAAACTAATAAATACGTGAACAGCAAACACGCTTAATAGAGCACATCTTACACAGCAATCCACAACACCTGCAGCTCAGTTTTCAATCTGCTAAACCCAGCATGTCTATGTGTATCAATATTATCTCACCACCTACAAACTCACTTTGAAGAAACACTCCATGTAATATTAGAAGTACATGCCAGTAAAACTTGCTATTTAACAAATTACTTTTTAAAAAAAACACACATTATACACTGCAAGTTTTACAAGAATAAAGAAGATTAAGGTCCTTTCCAACCCTAACTATTCTATGATTATATGGAAGCATTTTAATCTGAAGCAGGAATAAATTTTTCTATCACAATTTTGATGACTAGGGAAAATGATGGAAATGAGAATATTCATTAACTTTGGGCTATTTTAGAAGATTACAATATACATAATATTTCTTAAGAAATTCTGATATGCAGTCTCACACATCTTATATTGTGCCAACTAACGCTGAATACTAAGGGTTTAGAACCTTTTGTTTTATTTGGGGTTTTGTTTTGTTTTAAAAAGGTTATTTAAGCATACTGAAAGACTGGTCCAACTATTCACATCTCTTATTTTAGTTTTCTCTATTTTTATTTTTTTTTTTATGTTAACCAGCATTATATGAGCAAAAGTTAATCAACGTTAAGGTTTATCCAAATTAGTCTGTCTTCTGGGTAGGGAGTCCAAACCAGGAGGAGCCTGAATACTGCTCCTTGTGTCCAGGGTGGACATCAATCTGAAACTGTATTCATTAACAGTCACTTTGGAAACACCTACTAGTCTAAAGAACTTCCATTAAAAAAAAGGATTATAAGCAATCCTATCAAGTTATTCTTCACATATTACAAGAAGAATAATTTATTTCAAAAGGTTAGAGACAAGAACATACACAGGCTGTCTTGAAGAATATTGAGATTTCATGGCAAAAAAACCAAATTCTGAAAATAACAAGACTTGAAGGGAACTTCCAAAGACTTCTAATTTGCCAAAAAAACATGTTGAATAAGGTTTTCCCTTTCTGCCCTCCAGCTGCTTGAAAAAAAAAATATATAAAAAAAGTAACCTTCCTTAGCGATAAGATGCTTTGACCCTAAACATAAGGAAAGGTTTTTTACATTACCAGAAAAAAGTACATTATCATTTCTTAAGATGGACTTGAGAAAGGGTGAATGACAACTGAAAGGAAAAGTTGGTATCTTGTTATCTGATCATATTCTGAAATTGCTTGAGTTTTTATGTCCCATTTGCTAACAAATTATTCACATTTGCATATGATTTACACAAAGATTCAATACTAATACAGATACAAAAATGAAATTTTACCTATCTTCATCATCGAGGGATGTTGAGAATTTTCTGCTGCAGTCTTCAAACTCATCCCAAAAATCACTACCACCTAGAACAGTATTTTGTTCTTGAGATGCTGCATTTTTCCTTAGGTTTATTTCTGGGTTCTTTTGATGACCTTCATACTCTCCTGAATCAAAGAACATACTAGAACTCATCTCTTCTTTGCTGTTTCTCAAGGCATACTCGGCACAGCCTTGCTGGACTTCAGCAGTTTCGGTTCTCCTCCAGGAACCACTTTCCTCTTCATCATCGTTAGGGAGCACCTTCCCTCTCTCCAAATGGTTTGCAGTATTTTGTTTTCTTATTTTAGGTCTCACGACTAGCTCAGGCGAATTTCCTTGGTCAGTCTCTCCATCATCAACATTTAACTCATCAGCAATTGCTACAGGGGTTCCAATTCCAACATTCACTACACTTTTTATTTGTTGTGTTTCACAATTGGCACCACTCGTGTTACTTTTTGGTATAGCTTGATCTTCAGCAGAAGACTTAAATGCCCTATTGTTTGGACATGCCAAGTCTGGATCTATGCTAAAATATCTCATTAAAAACATTGGTTCTGCTTCTTGCAAACATGCTCTAGAAACACTGTGGTTCAGAGCAGACTGTAAGTCAGTAGAAGACTCTACGTCTTTTTCTAACTCAGAAAGCATGTTATCTAGTGTTTCCTGAAATACACCTGCTTCTTCTCTTGCCAAAGAAAAATTGTCTTGAGCATCATCTTCCTCTCCATCACTGCTATCTGGTTCATATGAGTCAATGTTTACAAAAGCAATTCCATCCTGACCATTCAAATCATTATGCCCTTCAGACACATATTTTGCAAGATCCCCAGAATTTTCATAAGTATTCATAAAGTCCCCTAAGACTTGGTTGCCTTCCAGTCCATAAGACAATAGAGAAAATGGTGATGTGTTCGCTTCAGAAGTTTGGGTCAATACACTTTGGCAAATGGGTTCTCCAGTTCCAGTATTTTCTAACAAAGGCTCATCTAATAAACCAGAAGAAACTTGAATCAATGGACTGGAACCTTCAGAGAAAGAATGTAAGAAAGAATGAACTGGAATAATAAAAAACAATAGAAATACTCTTGTATTACAACAATAGCTCATGATAAAAATAGTTCACTAGGACTGCAGTGCAATTTGATAAAGGGAAACATTTACCAGAGATGCAGTCATTCTTCACTAATATATTTACTTTCTCATTTATATAAACTAAGCATATAGAAATAGACTTAAATGATACAGTTTCAGCTCAGCCTGTGATAGAAAAAACGCAAGCATTAAAGGAACATGATCACAAGCAGCATTTTTACATTTTTTATATAAAAGGGAATTTTAAGATGAGAACAGGAAATCCGAACAAAAACTAGAAGATCAAAAAATTTCTGTGGGTAAGTTAAAAACTGGATTATCCATTTGCTAACTGGCTAAATTGTGTGTCCTGACACTCAAACAAACCCAGTGATTGCTACTAAAAATTACATACTAATAGCACTATATTTTGTACATACAGCTGTGAGTGCAACTCCTCATAAAAAAATAATAGCAGGGATGAATGTAGAATTACAGTTCAGTTATCACCATCACAAATTCAGTCTGGTTATATTACACTTGGACATCTCTTGCATAAAGGGACAAAAAATATCAAGTCCAGCAGCAAGAGTTAAAGAAAGTAAAAACAAGTATACTGCTACTACAAAATTAATGCTTCATTCAAGTCACTTGTAAACTCCTAACCAAGGCAATAGTTCAAACTATTTTTGAACATACAATGGCTTTCATAACTTGATGAGAGCACTTAAAATTTAAGTCAATATTAAGAGGTTTGGAAGCTTAACTTGAAGACCAAAAAACCACGAAAGGTAAACCCACCACAAACCCCCCAAAAAAGACACACATGGTTAATTGAAGGGATTCCCTCGCATGTTATTTTAAAAGCAGGTAGAGGTAGGAAACCATGTAAAAAGAGTGTTTCAGGAAAAAATAAACAAAAACAAAAACACAACCCACAACCTAATCTAAATAGCTAACCCATGCCTAGGTTGGTAAATTCATGGTACTGAATTCTTATGAGATCCATGCCTCTCTGCACTAGGCATTTGGCTTGCAGGAAGCAATACTGTCACATTACATTTTATCCAACTGAAATCTTGAAGCACCTTCAAAAAATTGCTAACAACTAAGGTTGGCAGGCAGGCCACTCTGGAGATCATCCAGTCCATTCCTCTTGCTCCAGCAGTCACCTACAGTAGGTTACCAAGGACCAAGTCCAGTCAGACTTTTAATACTTCCAAGGATAGCTCCTTCTACCCATCTTCCACAGTTGCTTAGATGTATATAAGATGTCAAGCCAATTAGCAACAAAATATGCAGCATATTTTAGGTAATACCCACCCATCAAAAAATAAGCATCAATTGGGGAAAAATGTAACCTAGTTGGGGTAAGGGAAATAAATTGAACCAAAACATTTCTCAGAGAAATTTGAAAAGTCATAATACAAAAAAAAGAACACATATAAAAGGAAAGGCATTTTGCTCTTAGACTTAATATAGAAAATGAGACACTCCTGGAATTTATATACAAACTGATTGTATTAACAGCAAGGAGATAATACACTCTAAGCTGCATATTTCTTATGACCCCTAAAATAATAGCACGCTCATTTCTGAATAACTGAAACAAGAAAGGTGGTAGCACTTGAGACACACAGCAGGAAGATTTCCACAAGTGTCAACACTGCCTTAGAGGAAACAAACCTTTAACTAGAAGAAAGTGTAGAAAATGTATGAAGGATAGGCAACCGCAAAAATGTTCCAATTACAAAAAATTAAAACCACTCCAAGGTAATCTACATTGCATAATAGTCTCCAGCACAATTGCATATGACGAAGTTAAATTAGCAATACGCTACTATTAAAAAAAAAAGCTCAGGAGAAACCAGTTACTTTATATGTACTTCTAGTCTGTAAAGGAAGGAGAAAAAGAAAATGCTACCTTACAGAATCATAGAATCATTTAGGTTGCAAAAGTCTCTTAAGATCATTGAGTCAAACTGTAAACCTAATACTGCCAAGTCCACCACTAAACCGCATCCCTAAGTGCCACGTCTACACATCTTTTAAGTACTTCCAGGGACGGTGACTCAACCACTTCCCTGGGCAGTCTGTTCCAATGCTTGATAACCCCCTCAATGAAGAAATATTTCCTAATATCCAATCTAACCCTTCCCTGGTGCAACTTGAGGCCATTTCCTCTCATTCTATCACCTACTACTTGGCAATACAGACCAACACTCACCTTGCTACAACCTTCTTTTGGGTAGTTGAAGAGAGAGATAAGGTCTCTCCTCAGCCTCCTTTTCTCCAGACTAAGGAACCCCAGTTCCCTCGGTTCATCCTCATAAGACCTGTGCTCCAGACCCTTCACCAGCTTCGTTGCCCTTCTCTGGACCTGCTCCAGCACCTCCATGTCTTTCTTGTAGTGAGGGGCCCAAAACTGCACACAGTATTTGAGGTGCGGCCTCACCAGTGCCAAATACAGGGGAACAATCACTTCCATAGTCCTGCTGGCCACACTGTTTCTGATACAAGACAGGATGCTATTGGCCTTGGTGACCTGGGCACACTGCTGGCTCATATACAGCCAGAGGTTAACCAACGCTCCTGGGTCCTTTTCCACGAGGCAGCCTTCTAGCTACTCTTCCCTAAGCCTGTAGCATTGCATGGTGCTGTTGTGACCCAGGTGCAGGCGCCAGCACTTTGGCAGATCAGAGGTTATATCAAACTTGTTTTTTTAACAAAAAAAACTTCATATACTCAAGGAGATAGGACTATGCTTCTAACCCAACAAGCCATTTTGTATTTCTCTATGAAATTATTATTCAGATGCTCAAGTCATAGAAGACATTTTGGGATATACTAACATTCAATATTCATCAAACAAGAAAGGAAAGTGGTCTGGCTGGTATAAACAAATAAAAGAGAACCTCTAAAGATGTCATAGGCTTAAACTAATCTCCCCTGTAATGACAGTAAGGTTGACAAAGACAGAACTACCTGGTCCATGATACATCACATATTTAATAGCCTAGTTTCAAACAGAAGGTTAGAATAGGTAATATCTTCCAAATGTGATTTGTCATTTGGAAGGCTAAATAATTTGAAGTATACAAGGTTATGGTTATTTAGTTGATTAGAATGCATTAAC